CAGTAAAGAGTCCTACATAATGCATTGGACTATTGAGATATACAGAGCTGAGTGGGAGATGATTAAAAGGGTTTCAGAAAGCATCGTTCTTCATCTAACAGGTAGCCCTGGGTACTTAAAAAATAGTACATTGGGGCACTTAAAAATATATTAAAGTACAAAGAAAACTCAGAAAATGTAAAAGTAGAAAACAATATAAGGTTCCATAACCCAAAGACAATGAGTCTGGGCGTTTTCATGTCTTTACTTCTATTTTTTGGAGAAAGGGGCATGAAAAAAATTAATAGAACATGAATAATATAGTTAATATATTTTTATATCTTACTATTTTTCTACTTTTTATTATATAGGAAGTATTTCCCTACCTTATTATTTTTCAACAGTAGAATTTTAAATGGCAACGTATAGTCTCTGAGTATAGATTCCAGTTTTCTCTCTATTTTATCAGTGAGGGTAAACTAGGTTAATGCTGTAATAACAAACAATTACAAAATCTCAATATAATAAACAAAGGTTTATTATTGCTTATGTTCTCTGTCCATTGAGGGTCAGCAGGGGGTTCTGTTAATTTTAGTTACTAAGAGACCGAGACTGATGTGGCAATTACTACCTTGAATGGTGCTGGTCACTATGCCACATGGAAAAAGAAAACATGGCAAAGCACATGCTCTTATATCTACCCAGAAATAACACACATCACTTAGACTTACATTTAATTGACCAAAGCAAGTTACATGACCATACCTAACTGCAAATTAATTGCAGGGAAGTGCGATCTGATCATAAGCACAAAGGCAAGAGATCTAAGAAATAGCAAAACAACACTAATGACCACCACATCCACCATGTAGAAGGATGGGAATGAGTTCTCTCTTTGGACACATTTAGTTTTATCTGAGTATTTTTATTTTGAAATTCTAAAGTTAAGGCCTTGAAGGCCCATCTGGGGAGACTGAGGAGTGTGGATTTACACAAGAGTAAGAACTGGTAGCACCTTTCCCAGAATTGCTTAGAAAGTTAGGGGCAGAGCCATGGAGTGGAAAACCCACCTCTGAGCAGCTGTGGCTTAAAATACTGAGCCCTGCTAGACACTTTCATAATAACCAGGCCTTGCTTCAATTGCTGGTTAATGAAGCAAAACTAGCAAGCCCTTCCCTTCTTAAATTGGAAGGGAGAATATTCATCTGAATAAGAGTCTTGTCAGAAGTTACATGCAATGGACATGGCCAGGCCAGGTCTTAAGACTCCATCTCCCAAGATGATGCTGAATGAATCAGAATATGAGGGTGCAGGATGGCTCCCGGGCTGCCTAGAAGTGGACACTCTTCTCACAGTTGATGATTTAAGAGTGAGGTAGAGATGAGATGGCAGAGAAAGGGCGTGGGAGAGTGAGAGCGCTGAACTGGCTGGGCTTAAGCAAGATTAAAAGAGTAACATAGTAATTTCTGGGAAATGGATTATAAGTTATTTTTATTTTCTTTATACTTTTTTTTCATTTTTATACTCAGAAAAAAATATGTAATTTTTAAAATGTCCTGAAAATTTTATAGGTTATTCTTTTTTAAGCTAGTAGACTCAACTAAAATTAAATTAATTTTTATATTCTTTTTT